TTTTAATTAAGATAGGACTTGTATCGCTGAAGTTCCTCAGAAATAATTTATACGGGAAATTAACAAACAAGCAAATACGTAACAATAATAATATAATTAAACTGCTTCAAGAGGCACACACGCAGCAGCTCAAGCTCATGGGTAACGTAATTCTATAGCGTAACATGAGCTGCATGTTCCCCAAGGGATTTTCAACTTATAATAGCGCGAATAGCAGTTAGATACCATTCAAAAGGCAATGAGACAATAAAGTTTTATTTTAAATAGATATATACTGTTACGAGTTTAAAGCTGGTTAGTATAAACAAATGTAGTTTCATGTTATAATTTGAAGTCATTCTTGAAAGAAAAAGAGGGCAATTTAGATTAATTTAGTATTTTTTATATTTTTTTTTGGTGGTTAGGAGGTAGGTCAAATTGATTAATCTTGTATAGATTTGTGGTAGAGAAAATAACAGATAAAATAAAAAGTTTTACTGAAAACAAGCATTTGAAATGTATTTAGAAGGTTTTTGAGATCAAGAAAAGTATTTCTAATCTTAACATGAAAATCACTTTGCACACGGATTGTTCAAAATAAAACGTGTTGAAATATTCGATATATTCACGGACAAATTTTTGTTTAGTTTATTAAAAACACTTCACCAAAAATATGATTTTTTTTTACCTGAAAGACTTACAATGTTTACTGAAAGACTGCCATATTTCGCAAAGATATACACACTATATTAAAAGTTAGTAGTATGAAATCTATAAAGACTTCTTTCATATAAATAAAAACAACCGAAATTCCAGAAAATAATTCGTCAGTGACTGTACTAGACATGGGCCTAGGCGCCTACTCAAGTGGAGTTAGGTGTCCATTGGCTATAGTGGACATTGATCTAGGCACCTACCCAAGTGGATTTAATTGCAGAGTGGCTATACTAGACAGAGTCCTAGACATCCTCTCAAGTGGATTTAGGTGCCCAGTTACTATGTAAAAGAATGCCTTGTTTAGAAGTAAGAATAAGTTGAAACGTTGAATTAAAAACTTCTTTTCTTTTTCAATCTACACTGAGTGGTCACAAGTAAAGTAGACTACCTAATTTTTCGTCATTTAACTAATTTATGCTAACTAATTTGTATTCACAGAGC